TCTCCATGTTTCAAAAGCGATGAATACAGTGCACATCAAGCTCTCAAGCTCATTCGCGGATTTTGCTGAGCGGTGCGACATAGACATAAATATAATAAAATATTTGCCTTTCCTCATACTTCTGGCAGGAAAATGAAAGGATAAGGCAACTAGACGACTGGTCACTTACCAATGGATCGATGCTGACAAACGAGTAGCATAAACATATAAAAAATGAAAATACCTTCACCATATTAACTTAATATATGATGGTTGATGTTAGCTTTAAAAACGTATTTTGCCTGCGCCTTGCTTGGTAGAAACCAGCCGGCTAATCCTATGCATTTTTGCTGAAGCAAACATAATTCATCTTTTATGTACAGTACGCTGGTCCTTGCCGGTGTGGCACCTATGTAGTTGAAGTATGTATTGGTATTACGAGCCTGGGGCTGTGGATTCACTTAGCAATTACTGCTTTATTTATTATGCCGAAATGAATTATCCCTTACCGCCACGGGATGCAATTTCTGCTTGCATTGCTTTTTGAGCTGTTCACAATATTCTTCTATGGATAGCACTTATGTTTGCCCCCATTGTTACCTACCCCTACGCTTGTTGCCAACGCGCTTATTTGATGTCAACGTCATCAACGTTCAGCGATGCCTTAAGCGGAAATAAACACGATTGCAAAAACAACAACGTAAATGTTGTCTGCGTGTACACCTGGTTAGAGCTGCGGTACCTTTGAGTTTAAGTTGTACAGTCATGCTTAGCTGATTTTAAAATTAATCTATTGATAAATTTTTAAATATAATTTAATTTAAATGAGTAAATAGCAGTACATACTATTTATATGCATACAAGGTTTTATTTTAATATGTCACTTCTCAGTTATAAAATCTAGCCTTTTGACCAAATATCGAGCACAACCAAATCCATAAATTAAACAAAATGATAGCGAAAAAATTGCTAACATAAAAACCACAATCGAAACCATTATAATAAATTTCTAATACCAAAAAAAGTTATTTTTGAAAGTTTAAAGTCCCAACTGCATTGAATGACAGTCAGGATTTTCAGAAAAAAACAAAACACAAAAGTTACATGAACTTGTGACTTTGGCACTTGTAAAGGTAAATATTAAAGCAAATATTGTTAACGAACGTAAAACGAAGCACACATACTGAAACTAACCAGCTGTACGGAAAAAATGGCAAGAACGCTAATGAAAAACCCCATATTTTCGTACGTGAAATTATTTACGACTGACTTCAATATTGAAGAAAAAAATCCTTATGTTACAAAACGTTACGCATCACAAATACTGATAAGGCATTGAAGGGAAAGCCTTCTTCTTTTTTTTTTTTAACACGAAGTCGTGCTATATACAAACAAAGCAAAGTCAGTGCGTCTTACCAGAAAGTCTTACTGACATAAAACTTGAGCCTTGTGCTACGATAAGAACGGCAATCACGAAATGATATTGAGAATATTGATTGTCAGGACTATGCTGCTCGAATTTAAATTGACAGAAGTGTAAAAGAGGTATCATCACGTTGATTTTGCTGGGATCTAACTTATGCCTTCTGTTGACTAGATGACTAGGTAAGGTGATTCTTTTTATAATCAAGACCAATTGTGTGTGTGATACTATGAACAAACGGAGAGTGAATGGTATCTCATTAAATGAAATGGCGCTCACTCAATCAGTATCAAAGTCAAGGTCAAGAAAGGATTTAATATTTTGTTGTTAATTATCATAAGGAATGCTATTAACAAATATAATGCCACCGCTAGACTAGGTGACCAATCATAAAAGCCCATTTGATGGACATCTATCAAAACCTAAGACTGTCTAGCCAATGCATTCCCCATTATTCTTATTTTTTCTTTTAACGTTGATGTTAACGTTAACATACTCATTAATTTTAGTGACATGTGTTGTCCTCACACAGAGCGTGAACAAATTTCTGTGATACCCTACACATAGAAAGTAGGAAAATTAAATAATTCCGACTGTGCACAATAGCCGCCGGCCTGTCTCACTTGACAGCGCAAATTGACTGAGCGCTGGTAACTGTCGTACCCAGACAGGTAGCAATGTTCACCTTTTGTTTCCAGCGACAGTTTAAGAGGCACACGATGTATTGTGACAGTTGACAAGTTGTTTATGCAAAGTCACTGTTTAGATTGACGGACAACCTGTAGATGAGCTACATTTTCTTTACATATTAATAGTACCAAATTTGTAGTACCATCCGTGGGCCACTTGAAGAAAGTGGCCAATTAGAAGTTTTTTATGTGTTTTTTTTAGTTTCACAAGGTAATTAATTGAAATTTCAATTGCAGTGAGTCTTAGCCGGGTTAAAAGATATGTGTTCAGCACTTTTTTAGCCCCAGCCTGCGGCAGCCTTGCTTATACATACAGCTCGCATTCAACGTGATGAATCCACTTCCTTCGGCTAAGCGGAGAAAACTTTCAGCCACAGACTTTGTCCTGGCTGTCAGCACCACTTGCTAAACGCTTTTCCAGTTCTCCTTTGTTGTAGTAGTTTTCATAAGCTGCATGTATATGTGTGCTTATGCATGTGTCTATGGCGGCACAAAAGCTGTTGCTTTCCTGCTTAGGCGCTAGCTAAATGTTTTACCCGCAGGGGCAAGGCACCAGACACGTGAAAGGACCCTTGTGCCTCTCACAATGCATGCTCTTGGCCACACCAAAGATTTTCTTTTCAAATTTCCTTCGGTGTTGCCCCTTGTTGCTTGTCGCAGTGGTTCTTTCAGTCCGTTTACTTCCTTGCTGCTATTAACTATAATTACCGCATTAAACGGAAAAGTGTCTTAATATTCAATTATAAGTTTTTTTCTTATCCACAGGCCTTTCGTAAAATACATTTATGCGTGTTTTGTGCTATTTGCGGCGGTCTATTGGAAAAGTTTCACTTACATTCTGTCTTTGTTTACTCTTCTAGGCTTTAATGACGCTTGAGTGCGTACAAATTATATCACTAAATCCTAATGATTGTATTGCTTTTGATTTTGTGCCAAAAGTTGTTCGAGTTTTGTCGCCTGTTTGTGTATTGATCGGCTGCTAGCCAATGTACGTTTCGCTGCCAATGGCCATTTGTTTTATTGGTGCATCGATAAAATAAATTGTATTTGCTGCCTGCCGGCGCTGCTAATGGCCTAGTTGAAAGTTTCGACATCAGCGACTGACTTTCGGTACATTGACAACAACACATGGCACAAACAGTGCTAATGAAATTACGAGTATGCTCCTCTATCCAGCCCCTCAGACTTAACTGTAATACGCATCGTGCCAAATCGTTGTGCAAACGCATTCGAAGCAGCTCACACGCACTTCAATAAACTAATGAACACTATTAAAGTCAGCAGCGTGGGCGCTAAGACCTCATTGCTGGCACCGACAGAATTTTAATTAACAAATCGTAAAACGCTAATTTTGCATATTAATAAACACGACACACCATACAACCGAGCTCCACGGCACAGACGCCCGTAGTCGAGGACTATAGGGCTGGGTAAAGCACACTCATAGACCTGAGTACGACGCGACACGCACACGGTGGAATTAAATATCCGGGTATATTATGCTTGCTTGGAATATAAGTAGTAGAAACTAATTTCAATTCTGCTCAATTCACGTGAAAAAGTCTATTTGACTAGAAGTCAGGCAGATAATAAAAAGAAATCTCATTACAATTGTAATTTAAATTACATTCGAAGTACGAAAAATTGCAAAAAGTATACCTGGAATTCAAAAAACGATACAAAAAAAGAGTTTACATTTTTATCCGGTGGATAATGCTGAGGTAGGGCAAACGTTCTATATCACACTCTATCTAACGCCTCGACCATGACAATGCTGTTGCCGCGAATACAAGAAATACAAGGAAGAATACATATTGTTGAGCTACGTTAAGCTTCCATAGTTGTTCAACTGGACTCTCTTAGATATGCTATAGCTATGTAGCCGTACATAATAAGCATAATAAGCTCTTCAATTCTTATTGAATAATTATTTTCGCTTAATTCCAGTTTTCCAAGCAACCCATCTACTAACGTTTCATTTTACAAAATAATTAAGATACTTTCTGACAGTTTTAGCAATTAAAATTGCAACTTGTTTGTAATTTTAGTCGCACACAAAAATCCACCTACTCACGGCATTGTTACCTAAAGTCAAATCTACCTGATTTCACAGGTTTAATTTCAAAAAGGATATTTTATTATCACAATTTTTTTCCAATTTGATTATTTTTGTCGTAGACTAGGTTATCATACATTCTTTGCCATCATCCATGCTTTGATTAAATTAAATTTATATTTAGAAAAAGCTTTTCTGTGTAACTTATTTTGAACAAGGCACCTGTCATAAATAAGTAAGCAGGTCAATAAGTTGCACTTAAAGAAAAACAGAGTGTTAATTTCCATCGGAAATACAGAAACTTCTTATCCACGAATTTTTATCAAAATTTGATATTTTTCAAATAAAAAATGGTGAAGAAGAAATGACAATAAAATGAAGGTGCACATTTTCGGGCGACACATTCACATTGTGTTCTTGATTTTATTACAAGCCTTTTACGTTGACAATAGCAGCAAAAAGGTCGAATAGCACCCGTTAAGGCTACTTGTTAGCCTATAGAAAATAGCAAAAAAATATCGTGGGAAATGTGGTTCAGAAAATAATTTGAATGCAAACTCAACTATTCCTTGACGACTTCCTGCAACAATAGAATCCACAACAAAAGCCGAAAAAGAAAATTTAATAAATTAAAGCTGGCTTTTGAGCTGACAAAAGTTGCGCAAAAAAGTATGCAACAAAAAAGGAACAATACAATACCAAAACAAAATTGTATATATTTCTAAATAATTTACATAGAGATGTTTTTTGGTAAATTGTTAGACGAAAAAAGCGGAAACGTCTTAAAGCGCCAAAATTGAATTTTTTGTTGCAAAGCAGCGAACGAATAAGTCTTTCATTTATATGCTTCCAGGCACAACAACTTAAAGAAGACAAAACGTGGCGTGACGCAAAAAGGCCTGGATAAATACGATGTTGTCAAAATATCTCCTGCCAATCTGTCAGCTAGTCGGTAAGTGAAACCCTTGCAAGGATTTGTAATATGCCCTACGAGCGAAGTTTTGCGCGAGTAAACATTGTAAGTTGCTGGGGTAGAGCGCAGAAGCTGTCGTAGGAAAAAACTCGTATAATTAGTAGAAACTTGAATAAAACCCCGAAAAATTGCTTTAAACTGAGCGTGAAAATGGTGTTCGGTGAAATCCATCACAGCCTCGCTGGTTTAATTGGCATAAACAGAGGTTCTTGGGTAAATATATATTTGTACAGTATCACCCATGTTTTGGTTCGCTATCCATGGGTCATACTTGCAAACTAGTTAATAGTCCACATTTTGCTAGTAAATAACTTGTTACGTTAAGAATTATAATTTTCTGGTGCTGTTTGTATGCATTTCCGAGAACAACAGTTGCAGAATAAATGTGGTACTGCAGCATATGGCAAAAATATATTAAAGTATTCATCTTTGTAGGCAAATTATTTTGGGTATACGAGCTCGAGTGGGTAAATATTCAGTGACATGCCGTTGAGCTTTTACAAATATTGTAATAATGACAGCACAGACTGTGAAGGAAAGACATGCTGAAGGTTACTTGGCTGGCAGTGGCAGCAGGCAACTGTCTTTTTCTAGAAATAGCTGAGAGAAAAGACTCGTCCATGCCAGTTTGAATATAAAGTCTGAAGCGGAAGCTGCATACACAAATATTCGAGCAGACATTCAAAAGTCAGCATAAAATTTAATTAAAATTTGTATAATAACTACAGCTGGGCTCTAACCAAAATTAGAACAGAGTAAGGTCAAATGTATTGCATCCTAGTGGGTACAAAGGAATGCCATATCCGTTCTTCTTCTAAAATGTGCTAGTAAAATGCCGTTAAAGACATTCGCTGTAAAATGTCCCATTTGATGAGCTCTATTTGAACTAGCTTTGTCTCTATAGTAGTATGTATAGTATGCTACAAGCGAAATCGAAGTTATTTAATGGTCTGGCATGTGCCGCTAGTTAACTGACTAATCGCATTAAATTAACACAAATAAAGCTCTTGGCAGCCAACAAACCCAAACAATTACAAGGCAGATAGTAAAAGGCAGCTTAAGGAGGCGATAAAAAAAGTGTTGGTAAAACAAATGAAAAAAAGAAAAAAAAAACAATCCAATAAAGTGGTTGTTGCTCTTCCTTAGTTTTGCTTGCTAAAGGCGTTTATAAATTACTTAAATCGGTTAATGCGAAACAAAAAAAAAAAAAACTGTAGGCGCAACAGGAACATCCTGCCCCAACAACATCCCGAGAATCGGAGCAAGGAACAACTTGTGTCGTGACCACCACGTACGCACTACTGCAGCAGGGCAATACGTTTTTGCTGCCGTCCTGCACAAGTATGTGTAAACCACAGGCAGACAAAGGACTCTGTGTAGATAAAGGAAAAGCTGTAGGCGTAAGAAAATCCTCTCAATTGATTATCAATCAATTTTTGTGCCAGTGTGTGGAAAACAAAAAAATTGAGGCTAAGAAAAGCCAATGAATGGTATGAAACAAAGTCTAGCGCCTTAGATTGGGGCTACTGCGTACGATTGTGCTAATGGAATTAAAACTGGCAATTTCGGCCATGGTGGTTGTCAGGCTGCCTTGCTAGATATTCGTTCTATGTTGGGGCTTGCTATAGCAATATCTTCTCACAGTAAGATAATTGACTCGTCTAACCAAATTAATGAACACAAATCAATTGCATTAAGCGACAGATAGTGCGTGTAGGCTGTGTGGCTTAGGCTCTCGTAGGTTTACCTAAGAATACCGTACATTTTGGCCAACGAAATTGGGATTAACGCTAAGTTCAAGCGTTGGCCTATTCGGGTGCTCAAATTAATGCTAACCAACAGCTTATAACGACTTATTTATGCATCACATAGCGGAATACGGCTTGAGTTTGGAGCTTCTCATAATAATTAAGGATTATTATGCCTCTTCTCGAGACATTTGCTTTAATTTTCCCTATCTGTGAATTCCAGGAGGCATTTATTGCTATAACAAAAGCAAAATGAAAATATCCTTCTGCATGTCGGGAAATCGGTTGTGTGTCAATTCTATGTGTTGGCCTTATTAGAGGCAGCGCACCAAATATATTTGGGCTATTTTCCGACAACATCCTTTGTTGTATGTCTATTCAAGGAGATATTTTCGCCCATTGCTTGTTTTCCTCTTCACACGTCGGCGCATGTGTTTATTTCACATCTCGCACTCGGCTCGGCTCAGTTTTGCCTTATTTCATGTTGGCATTTGCACAATTTCTTGCCGGTCGTCTTGTGGGTTTCGGCGTCTTCTTGATGGAAATTTTGCTTTACTTTTTGGTTTTCCACATTTCGGCGCCTTGGCATTTGCCTGTGTAGTTGGTGGAAGCGCCTCAAGCCACCGCAAAACAATGAAAATTGGTTTTGTTACTTTACTTATTTTGCACCGGCTGTTGGCTAAGTTTGTGGTTGGCAATGCGAGTGCGGCTGAGACTGAGCCTTTTTGCCCAAGACGTTAGCCTTTTATTGCTCGTGTTATTGTCGGAGTATTTATTTGGCAGCCGTAAATGTAGCGAGATATGCAACTTTCTGCGTCTTTGGCGGTTTGCGTACCAACCCCGTTTTATATTTGCGTTTTGTTATTTTTTTATTTCTGTTTATGGTGTTGGGCATTATCTCATAAAATGTAAAATGTAAACACTTGTAGGCTGGCAGTCTGGCTGCCTTGGCCGCTGGTTGACTGGTTTTGTCTCTTTAGCACGTACACGTTTATCTCCTTAATGTGATATTCAGTGTCGTGGCCAGACCTATTGTCCACCGGTAAGCGTTTCGATAGGTAACATATATATCATATATTTTGCTAGTTTTATCAGAGTTCGCATTGATATCTGAAAATGTATTACCTTATTGTAAGGGGCCCAATCTATGACAACATATCGGTACACATTCGTATAAGTTGTTCACTTTTAATACACCTTTTATGGCTTACTGTTATTTTATTTGAATTAACTTTATGTGTGTTATGCGAATAATTCAAGGCTAGTTCGAGTTAATTAGCCTATTAAGTCTACCTTCTTGGCAGCTTAAGTACGCACATGCATAAACGACAGTATCTGAATCTATAACTCTAGCTATCTATTGAGCAGCAGGGAACAAAATCGCGTACGCGCGCGGAACGTGTCAACTTTGTGTCAGAGTTCACTTTCTACTAAACGCTTTTTGCTGAGCGCGTGCTGCCGATTACTGTTATTTGCTCGGCTGGCTGTCGGGAATGCTTCGTGTGAGGTCGTAGCAAGTCGTGGTTGTTCCTCGCAACAAAAGTCGGTGAGCGAGAACAGCATGGAGTCGATTGCGTTCTCATTTGTTGTAAGGACAAAGTTGGGCGAGCTAACTTAAGGATGCGGCGAATTTAAAGGCAGGCTTGAGGCTTGTAGTTCAAAACCTTCAGTGAAGGAGCATTTGGGTCATTTACGGCGATCGTCGTGAACCTAAATGAAAGAACTATACATTTTTCAGTTTATAGTATTGTTCAGATTACATTACTGTAAAAATTGTATCCCTCTGTAGCACTTTGTATAGTTTTGAATATATAGCATGTAAATCTTCGAGTATCAGTAAGTAGAGTAATCATAGCTATGGGTATGTGCTCTCTATACAAAGTTTCTCCTCAAGTTATCGCCAACGCGTTTAGCCGACAACTTCACTCCGAATATTTAAGTGCCAAGGGGTAATTTACATTCGAACATTCCGAAGTGTGCCTGCAACATGTCCGTTACAACATTTTGTTGCATCCAAACACAGCGTTGCGTTAGTGGGCTCATTCTTCCGAACCTCGAAAACAACAAAAAGATTGTTTTGCACATGCATGGAACAGCAACTGAGAGTCAAAATAGTGGAGCATGACCAGCAACCAGACGCGCGTGTAATTAAAACCAAACAGATTCGGAGAAGCAACCTACCGTGGGTCAACCTGATAAGAACCGTCGCCATGAAGACTTCGTACGGTTTGTCAGCATTTTATTGTTGTTGTTCAGCAATAAAGGAAAACAGAAGGAAATTCTTCGCAGGCTTGCAGTTATGATGGTGATGATAATACTGGATAGTCTAGGGGTCCGGATTAAAAACAAAAATAATGCTGGGTGGGCATAAGCAGCGACACGCAAAATATGACATTGTTCTATAGGAACGGGAAAATATTTACGTAGAATACAAAAGCTGTCATAAAATTAATTTAAACATTTTCCAACCTTTCTACTCCTGTTCCGCTTTTTGATATATATAGCTGCGTTGCTGCTGCTAGCAACGGGGACTTTGACTTAATCAGAAACAATGGTGGATTTTTTATGATGACCAAATCTCCCCTCTTGGTTTGTTCAAAATTTGCATATATAAAGTAATAGAATGCGCCGGTCGTCACAATTTTCAACATACAAAAATCACGATTGCCCAGACAGCTTGCTGTTATTATTTCACTTACCCAAAATTAATATCAGTAGCGGCTGGACAATTTTATCGAAAAGTGTCGACAAGTGGAAATTTAAAGCGAATACGCTCCAACTTCTATTTTGCCCTAAGAAGTATACTAAGTATACCGTATACTGGAGTACCGTGGCTGGAGGATTTGTAGCCACTTAAACATTTCGATTTTTGGTGCCCACTGATTAAAACTAACTAAGGTATCTGTTGATGCACTCAGCTGCACTTACTGGAGGCCAAGCGGATTATGTGTGTGTGTTTGAATTTACTTGCTTGTTCGCGCATAGGTGAGTCGGGATGTGTATCCAGGAAGTCACGGGGCGTTAAAAATGGGAAACCATTGAAAGAGTGGGCGCAGGGAAAACAATGGGAAGAAGAACTACAAACAGGCAAACAAATAAACAAGCAGCAAATAAACATGCCGCGCTGTGATTGCCGGACAAAAGGCAAAACAATTGAATTGAATTGACAACAACCGTACAGAGACACCAGAGGGTAGTCGAGGGCATAAGGGAACTGGCCGACAACGGTGC